TTCCTTTTCTGGGAGAGTAAGTATAATTAGACTAATTTTACAAAGAGAGGGGGCAAAAATCAAAGTGATTATGCTGTAGGCGACTTGTAGAGTTGGAATTGTATTAGGTTCTCCAAAAAAACAGAGCCAATGGGAGTTGTGTATATATATGATACCATGATGATATATGTATGTATATGTCCATATATACATATGTGTATATATTCATTTGTATGCATATACAAATGTCCTTCGACTTACAATGGGGGTAGGTTCTGATAAACCCATTGAAAGTTGAAAATAGGGTAAGTAAAAAATGCGTTGATTATACCTAGCATGCCAAACATTACAGCTTAGCCAATCCTGCTTTAAACTTGCCCAGAACACTTAAAGTAGCCTACAGTTGGGCAAACCGTCTTCCTACACAAAACAATGTAGAGTATCTGTTGTTTACCCTCACGATTGTGTGGCTGACCAGGGGTGTGGCTCGCTGCTGCCGCCCAGCATATAAAGGGGGTAGTGTATTGTATATCACTAGCCTGGGAATAGATCACAATTCAAAGTTCAAAGGATGGTTTCTACTGAATGCATATTCTTTTCCCACCATTGTAAAGTCAAAAAGTCCTAAGTTGAACTATCATAAGTTGGGGACTGTGTGTATATCAACAGAATAAATACATATGTACGACATAGATGTCTGCACCGCTGGGGTGGGGGTGGAGTGGAGGGTGGCCAGGGCAGCTTTCTTTAGGCCATGGTGGTTTTTCCAAACCTGAAAGACAACAGAATCAGCTGGGGAGACTCTTTAAAAAATCAACATTTCTGGACTCCATCTCAGGCCCAATGAATTAGAATTTCTGGAAAAAGCCCAAGAGAGGGTCCCAGAAATTTATAAAAGCAATTCTTGGCTAGGCACGGTGGCTTATGCCTGTCATCCCAGCACTTTAGGAGGCCGAGGTAGGTGGATCCCTTGAGGTTAGGAGTTCGAGACCATTCTAGTCAACATGTTGAAACCTTGTTTCTACTAAAAATACAAAACTTAGCCAGGGCATGGTGGCACATGCCTATAGTCCCAGGAGGCTGAGGCCGGAGGATCACCTGAGCCCAGGAGGCAGAGGTTGTGCTACTGCACTCCAGCCTGGGTGACAGTGAGATCCTGACTTTAAAAAAAAAAAAAAAAAAAAAGCAATTCTCAGGTGATTGTCATGTTCAGTGGGCTTTGGAAACAGCTGCTTGTCTGAGCCACTGGAAGCATCTCCCTTCCCTGTGCCTATGCTAGCAGCTACTGGATCCGACTTTCCTAGGCTGCCCTCCCAGGTGCTACTGCATCTTAGGGGATAGGTCACTTGCAGGTCTGCTTGCTTATATTTGCTTCTTCCATTTTGTAGGGACTACCTGCCATCAACAGGTTATGTCCCTTTATGGGGGCACTGGGGAGCCCTCCTGAGAGCACCAAGCTCATTTCACTTGTCACCTAATCAGAGTTTCAGTGATTATGCTTGGTTTGAGCTGGAATACTTGGGGTAAATGTATCCCCTGACATCAAGAAACAGACTTCACATATCTGCACCCAAAATCATGAATCTGTTTAAATAAGGCTGGTTCATCCACAAGGTCAATATTTTAAAGTCCATTGAAGAGCACCACGTGGTTTATTATTCTTTTTCTCCATTCACTGGAAGTATCCTGGAATGCTTTGTCATTTTAGCGTATATCAAACCCTCAGGCCATCATAAAGGCTGAACACAGGGGCCGAGATCAACAATGCATGGCATATTTTTATTTTAAACCAAGAAAAGAAGAGAAAGTTGATACAGAAACATTTGCTTGGTCATGCAGTTTCAAGCCTGCATAACAGAAAACCGTTATAAAAAATAAAAAGCGGAAATAAAGAAGACAGGTTTTATTATTTTTTTTCTACCCTTACCTCATTCCTAACAAAGGATGTGAGTTGGCTTGCAAAATACATACACTACTAAGATAAGATTTGTGTGACATTAAAATAAGAAATGAATAATCATGGAGTCTGGAGGAAAAGAAATTTGGCTGCGAGCTTCCTAGCACCAAAGCAAAAAGGAAAGAGAAGAGTTTGTAGAGTCTATGTTATTTTTATCATTAGTTTGATTCCAAAAATAAGAAAGGAGCCATTAGATCACAAAGATTTTGTTTGAATTGTGAGTTATCTCAGAGTAAAAGACCAGTTTCTAGAGAACAAACCTTGTCTCCCTCTGGGAATAATACACACCTATAAAACTTATTCCAGGGACGCTGCTTTATTCTGGAAGAGACAATGTCTCTCCTATGATCAGTAAGCATCTTGCCCATCTACTCCAGAGTGCAAGACTTCCGGACTGAGGTAATTCACCAGTGATCAGGTTTGCTCTGAGGTTTACTTTGAATTTGTGGGTTTTATTCCTTTTTCTATTTTTTTTTTTTTGAGACAGAGTACCACTCTATTGCCCAGGCTGGAGTGCAGTGGCACAATCTCAGCTCACTGCAACCTCTGCCTCCTGGGTTCAAGGAATTCTCATGCCTCATCCTCCTGAGTAGCTGAGATTATGG